TGTGTGGCCATCCCAGAGCGGGCTCTCGTCTCTCATGTGTGCAAGATCCTGTTGCGGCTGTCCCTGCCCCCAGTCACTCTGGTTTGAGTGTAGGGTATGTAGAAATGCATGAAAACCGCTGGTAGTGATGCTGTCTGGCTGCGTGTTCTACTGTTAGCTGAAGATTGAAGGTTGGTTTGTGTGGCTGTGGTCTTCAGCTGTAGTGATCTTTCCCTCCTGCACCTGACTCGGCCGGCTCCTCACGCAGATACAGCCAGTGCCCAGGGCCTGCGGGGGCGGAGGGGCTGTGTGTCCAGGGAGGAGACGGGCGTCTTGCTGCCCAGCTCGTGTCCGAGGTGCAGGGTCCAGTCCACGCCCGGCCCGATTCGCTCAGTCAGACGGATACTTGATTTTAGGGAACAGAGAGCAGACGGCGCGGAGCAGTGGCCGAGGGCGCCCGGCGGGGAAGCGGGAAGCGGGAAGCGAGATCGGCTGTCGGGAGCGTGGCGTTGGTTGAGGACAGGTGACGTGTGAAGGGAAAGTCCAGGAGAAGTGATCCGCCGGCGCCGGTCGAGGTGCGCGGTGTGACGGTGTGGCTCGAAGGTGATGTGGGCCGGTCAGCGAGGCACCACACGGACGTGTGTGTGTGTGTGTGTGTGTGTGTGTGTGTGTGTGTGTGTGTGTGTGTGCACTTAACCTACCTGCACGCATTCGCCTGGGTCTAATCCTACACCAGCAGGATGATACGGTAACTAATCATGAATCAGTATTAATTCTTCAATATCTATTCAGTTATTCAATCAAATTCTATTATTCAATATTCAGCATTCAATATATGCATCTTCTTAAACCTCCATTTAGACTTGGTAGTTGTTTCCCCCAAATGTTAAGCATTTTATAACACTTTACAAGGGACGTTAAGTTTTTTGTAAAAGATTCTCCAGATAATATTGTTGCGAACTTTGCACGTGGTGCCAAAGTGAACAGCCCTTTTTCCCTTGTTGTCTTCGAGCTCAAGTGGTGCATCTTCCAGCCAAGCTGTTTCCCAGTACACTCCCAGGCAGGGGAGGGGGGCAGCTTGCTGCTCTTCCGAACTGGGGCTCAAGTTCGGCCCTGTGCTCCAGGTGACGCCCCGTGGGACTGGGGAGCAGGGCCCCTTGTCCAGCTCGCTTTCAGTCTGACATCCCGCAACTTGAAATTTAAACGCATGCACAAAAATGCAGATGGTCCGTAGATAGTTCCAAAGGCAATTCCAACTGGGACGTCTTCTACAGCCAAGAATCTCTTCCTTGAGTCCTTGACTCATTCCGGCTTTATGGAATAGTGCCTGGAAATAAATGGTAAGCAGCTCAGCCTGAGCTCAATCCCCTTACAAGCCCTTAGCAGTCCTGATCGTCAGGACACTGCTGCTGCCTGCATATGGTTATTGATGCAATAACCCTGCTCCCCCCTCCCTCCCCCTGTCCGCTCCGGCCCATTGTTCTGATCCGGCGTGAACACAGAGTCCTGCCAGGACCCTGCACCCTGCACACCTGCAGCGTGCACAGCTGGCCAGATGTGACCTCGGTGAACTCATAGCAGCCAGTCCCGGGGCAACTCCAGACCCACCAGCTCTCTGTGGTAATATTAGCCTGTTTGAAGCACAACAAAGCATTTATTCATAATAAACTGATATAAAAGTGGTCTAGTTCTCTTGTAAGAGCCTTAAAGTCCAGCTCTTCCCTGATCTCATACACGAGGGAAAGGAACATGCTACACCCAATGACACACAGTTCTCTAAATGTGCTCTAAACCAAACAACAGCCCAAACCCAGCCTCAAGAGAACCTTTTCAGAGTTGTTAGATCATGCTTTGCGTACGCATGTGCGTGCTTGTTTGTTTTGGATGATCTATACCAGTTTAATTGCGTTAAGCTTGAACCGATTGTTTTGCTGTAGTTGTCATGTCCTTATGAAATAAGATGGGCCGTTGAAGAAGGAGTGTGCTTCAGAAACCTACAGCACAGTCTGGTGAAACAGAAGATACTTGAACACGATTCATCATCTTCACCCTGCTCAACCTTGTTCAGCAGTGCAAGGCCTGGAGGTCGTGAGGTTGTGTGCGACTTTAGTCTGCAGAAGGAGTCAAGGAGTCTGCAGTACGTCTCCTGTCTGCTCTGAAGACGACCCTTCCATTCTGATAAAACCAGTACTTTGCTGAAGAAGCAAGCAGGATTTGAGCTGGACTGTGAGATCTGGAAGGAGAAGGGTAACTGAGGACTGTGATACCCGAGAGGTTGTCTTTGCCTCCTGCATTGTACAGGAAGTCCTCACCTGGCTCGCTGTGGAGTTCTGAGGTTGCTGGGTGGTCTGTGTGCCTTAGTTGTCACTGTAACAATTCTACTGCTTTGCTGATGGTCTGGGGGCACCTGGCCTCCCTAAAACCAGCCACCTTCCTGCGGTGCTCTCCTGCTCTCTAGGTGCCAAAGCTGAACACAATGTTATTTGAATGTTTTGACTTGTTTTCAGTTGTTTCGGACCGGACCTCCAGTCAGATCCACAGCTGGATCAGCTGTGAGTGTGGTTTAGCTCTGCCACTGACGAGACAGGCTGTAATAATCTCCTTCTGCTGGGCAAGGCTGGTACTGTATCTGCTGTCATTTGAAGAAGGGTAAGCACCTCTGGCAGGTTTTAGAAACTCTCAGTACCAGTCATGCACACTTTTGATTCGATTCTAAAGCCTTCACACTTAAATTCTTACACAGTTAGAAAATCTCTTACCCAGAGAGAGGAAGACTTTAACACTAATGGCTTCAGAGTCTGGATGAAGCACTTTGTTAGCATGGTGCTGTCGTCCTGATGTGCCCCCACACCGCTGATCTGCGCCTGCTGCCACATGAGCTGACAGCAGCCTGCAGAGTTGGCATCAGACTCCCAGCATGCAGCAGCAGCAAGACTCGTCTGAGGCTGATGAAATGCAGGCTCTCTTCTGACCTGCACTGCTGAAGCCGAGGAAAGAAGGCATTTTTGCAGTTACACTGGAAAAAAAAAGTGCTTCTCACATGGGCCATTGCTCGTTAAACCAGAACAGACCAAATGGCTGTGTGGTGGGTGGAAATCTGGGATCTGATTTCCTGTGCCCTCTTGCCTGAGCGCAGAGAAATGGTTTAGCTTCCTTCTGGGCATCTGAACTCGACGGGCACTGCGAGCCCTTGCCGAATTCGCCCTCTCCCGTCCTCACAGCTATTTCTGAGCTGCAGGGAAACGGCAAGCGGGTTAAAATAACAACGCTTCTCTGTTGTGGTTTATGAAAAAAGGTTAAATATAGATTTGCATTTTGTGAGAGAAGCTTCTGCAGAATTTACAGTTAAAACACAAAAGGGAGAGTCTGAGGTCCTCTTGGAAAGCTTCACCGAGATGAGAGATCGGCACTGTGCCAACAGGACAGGGCACTGCAGTTCAGTGCAGCAGAGATACCACTATTACATCTTCTCTAGGATTAAAGTGGGGGACACTGGCTGTCACGCAGAGCCAGGCCAGCGTATGTCTGGTGAATCACTGCTCAGCCCACCTTCCCTTTGAGGGAGTACTGAGTATTTTCTGCCACATTTATTTAAAAAGGTCTCTTTTGCAAAAGGAGACTGTGTGGCAGCACCACACAAACGCTTTGACCTGGGTGTCTGGGCTGTTCTTGTGGTGTCAAGAAGAACTGTTGAGATATTTGGTAAATTAATTTTGTCACTTTCTGTCTGGATAAAAGGGTAAATGTAGCTAACTGAGTGAATTTGGCTCTTTAAATCGTTCCCTTTAATGATCTATCATTTCAAGGTGCTGTGCAATTAAACAAGACCGGAATTGATCACAGCAATTAAAAGCACAAGATCACAGGTGCTGACTCGCTTGGGGAGCTCAGATCCGATCTGTGAGGGAGATCAAGGCTCCAGTTTGGGAGATGATGGTTCTTGTTCCAAAGAGCGTAAACAAGGTGTAGGTGTGTGGCAGGCTGATAGACCCATCGGGCTCGTGAAGCTGGGCTGCACCCTATTCTCACATCCACAGCTGAGCTAGACCCACAAAATATATTCTCACGCGGTTCTGAACATGTCCAGCGACGCCAGGGAGCACCGCATTACCATCAAGTCTGGAAATTGCAAAGCAGGCTCGAGCTCCTGTATCAAACTGGGAGAGATGGGTATACAGTAAATAGGAGCCATGGTCCAAAATGAAAAAAGACCCCTTCCCTACACAAATACAAAGTCAAAAATGACACCAAGGTCCCAGAACATAGTTCTGGACTGATTCCAGCTTCCTCAGAGGTCAGAGGTTGAAACATTTGCTGCATTGATGAGCACGATTAGATGTAAAGTTTAGCATCATCTAAGCATTGTGACAAAGCAGTGCTGAAGTAAGATCAGGTATTACATGGATCTAACAAATCTGGGTGTCATCAGGATAGAAATGAAAACTGATACTGTGCCGACAAAAATTCTAACCTAATAGTAACATCCATCCATTGCCTTAACACTTCATGCAGTACAGGGCTGTGGGGGAGGTCCACAGGACACCGGTCCATCACAGAGCGGACACTAACACTGTGTACTAAAAAGATTTAGATTAGTTAAAGACTCATTCGGGTCCAAGATCAAATTTAGGACTAGAGTTTCTCTTAGGTCCCCCATTTGAAAAGGTTTTGCTTTGGCAGAGCTGAGCAGAGTCCCTGCACAGTCTCACACCTTTATTTGCACAAGCGATGGATCAGTGTTGCCAAAGCAGACAGTCTTATTAGTCCATATTGTTGAACATTTACACCTCACAAAACAGTTTTGTTTATTGTGGAACGGGCTCACTGTTCCTCAGGCTGTGGCAGGAGATCGCACACGAGTTTCCTCTCCTCCCCCAGTAGGACTGGAGATGTTCTGATTCTGGAAGGTGTGGAAATTCTGGGATTAGGTTTGTTATTTTAGGGAGGCCTGCTTGTCTAATCCCAGAGTATTCCTCACAGTGCAGCAGAATGTGCAACTCTTTTCTCCCTGCTGGCAGTCGGAGCACAGCCGGTCCTCTCTGGACAGCCTGCTCTCTCTGTGTTACCCAGCTTTTTTTATGGCTTTTTCTCTTTACTCTCTGTTACCCTGGTCAGGAACTCAGCTAGTGTGTACTGTCTTTTTAGAGTCCTGCAGCATTCCAGTTTGGGTTGTTTGTGAGGCAGGTGGGCAGTGCTGTTTGGCTTGTTCTGTGATGTGGGTTGAGTTCAATTCGTGTTGTTGTAATGGTGCTGTCCTGAGGCTGGTTGGTGTCAGTGCGCTTCAGGACCAGCTGGCTGAGGGGGCTCATCTCTGGGCTCAGCAGGGCCAGGTGGTGGTAGGAGTTTGGACACTGCAGTTTGTGTAACCAATATTTAAGTGCTCTCTTCTGTATATTTATTAGTTTTCTTTAACACTCTGAGGTGGCACACTGTTACTGACAGCGGGTAAAGTTCTGCTCAGACAGCTCTGCACACTGCGGTCTTTGTGTCAGGGCGCCCTCTGGTGGAGCACTCATGCAACTACAAAGCAGTACATGGAGGGGAGTGGGGTCACTACAGCGTCTGCAGTCGCACTCAGAGCTCTGCCCATTCCCATGAGCTCTCTGTGCTTGACTGGATCATTTTCGGTCTCGTGCATGCGCGTGAGGCACGAGTCTCCTGTCCGGTACAGCTTGTGCAGGGTGGAGAGTGAGCGGTGATCTTCAGCTCTGACCATGGTGCTCTGCTCTGCTCTCTCCCAGGCCGACTGCCACAACTACGTCCGTCTGCTGCAATTTCTGAGCGCAGAGCAGATCTACGTGTGCGGGACCTACGCCTTCGACCCGCAGTGCACCTTCCTGGTGAGTGGGCCGCCCTCTCGCACGGGACCTCCGGGACGGCTTTCCTCCAGGGCAGAGGGCGGCTCCACGTCTCCCTGTGGACCTGGCAGACGCGTGTCGCAAAACGACAGGAGGCCGTTTGGCCCATCAAGCCTGTCTGGCTGCCAGTAGCTGCTCAATCTAAGGTTCTTCAGGGTATCGGTTTCAGCAAGATGGGAGGAAACTTTGTTCCATGCTCCCACAACCCTTTGTGTAAAGTGCCTCCTCTTCTCCCGTTTTCCTTGCTCTTCCATGTCGTGCATTAAAACAACTGTTTCATAAATGAAGGGCACATAGAGGGGGGCGATAATGACAGTGATATTTTCTTGCCTCCTGCTTTCTGCTCTCTGCTCTTCATCACTCGCTTTCTCTCTCTCTCTCAGAACGTGATGAAATTCTCCTTGGAGCTGCAGGAAAATGGCGAAGTGAGGATGGAGAGTGGGAAGGGAAAGTGTCCCTTCGAACCCGCTCAGCACTACACTGCTGTCATGGCAGGTACAGACCCCTCTGGCCCCCCCGCCCATGTCCAGCCAGTCCCAGGAAATGCACGTCGACCACAAGGAGTTCTGTAGACTCAACAGCTCTGTGTTGAGAGAGGCCTCCTAGCTCCAGACCCAGGTGCAGCTGTGATTCACTTCTGCTCCTGTGTCACGAGTTTGGACCATTCTAAAAGAACATAAGAAATGTTGGGGTTAAAATTAAAGTTGCAAGCAAGAGGAGGCCGTTTAACCCATTTAGTAGTTGGTGGCTCATTGATCCCAGGATCTTTCAGATCCATGTCTGGATATCGGCTTCAACAACATGGCTGGGGTGCTTGTTCCAGACTCCTACAGCTCTTTGTGTAAAGAAGTACCTTCTGTTTTCAGTTTTAAATGCACTTTCCTGTAGTTCCAGTTGTGTCTTCTGTGTCCTCACTGTTCATTTGAAGAAATCTGTTGGTTTGGCTTTCGGTGCGCGTGTGGATGTTGAATCCCTGTTGTATTCTCTGTCTAAAAAAAGGTTCAGTTCCGTCAGCCTGTCAGTCTAGGAGACTCTTAAGCCCTGGAATGTATTTAGTTGCCCTCCTCTGCACTGATTCCAGTAGAAAGGTTTTGCCTCCTCTCCACACCTCACGTTCCTCCTCTCTCACCCTTGTGCTGGTGTTTCCCTGTAGATGGACTCCTGTATACTGCCACCACCAGCAACTTCCTGAGCACGGCCTTCGATATCTCCAGGGCGACGGGGCCGGAGGTGGAGCGTATCCGCACAGAGACCTCCCCCAGCTGGCTGAGCGGTGAGGCACTGCTGCCTGTTCCTCCCGCAGGGCCGCTCACCGGAGCGCTGAACAAGGGGCACACCCACACCCAGCTCTGGGAGCGGGGGCCAGGACAGATGTGTAGACGCAAATGTGTATATTTTTTTATTATTGCATAGGTGGGAAAGATGCATTTGGCACGTTTCATAGGTGTGCAATCCTGTAAGAAATGCCAGTCTGGGAAAACAGTCTTATTCTGCAAAGAAAATAACGTAGAAGAACAGTAAAAGGGGCAACACAGAAGCCTCAGGCTGGGCATGTGACGATACGGACACCGGAGTCTGCCAGCCTCTTGTGTTAATATCGCACGGGGTCTGTCTCTCCACGCTCGGGTGCCTTCATTTATTCTCCTGCAGAGTAAACGGAGTAAAACACACAGGAGCCCGAGCTGCATTCTGCCTTTCCTTCACGATTCCTGCCGGATCAGCGGTGCCGAGCCGAACCGTCCAGTAGGGCCCTCTCACTGGGCCCAGTAGGCTGCTCTGGCACACTGGACTCTCCGTGTTATAGGAGCGAAGCTGTGTGGGTTTGCCTTATTGGACACTAGTGGGCTAAATATGGCCCCTACAGTGTGTCCCTGTGTCACAGCTGCTCCACACAGCTGGGCTCAAGCTCTGAGAAATGAGCACCCCAATAAACCTCCTGCGCTGGAGCTGTGGGGATTCCCCCCGCCTGCGGCCCAGCTGGGTAGAAGGGGAGCTGTGCGTTACAGTCGTTGTGTTCCTACCGGCAGACCCGGAGTTTGTGAGCTCGGTCTTCGTCCCAGAGAAGAAGGACAGCCCCACGGGAGACGACGACAAGATCTACTTTTTCTTCACCGAGGTGGCCAACGAGTACAACTTCTACACCCGGGTCAGGGTGCCCAGGGTGGCCCGGGTCTGCAAGGTGAGCACAGCGGCGCTGTCCGGACTTCCATCTGTCCACAGCCTCTGAGCTGTTAGGAACCTTCCCTTCTGATTCCCTGTAAGCGCTTGTGTACGAGGTTGGAACACTCCCCTCTCCGACTCGCACTCGTGCGTGCGCTTGTGTACGAGGTTAGAACACTCCCCTCTCCGACTCGCACTCGTGCGTGCGCTTCTGTACGAGGTTGGAATACTCCCCTCTCCGACTCGCACTCGTGCGTGCGCTTGTGTACGAGGTTAGAACACTCCCCTCTCCGACTCGCACTCGTGCGTGCGCTT